AAAGATTAGATTAATTGTGAAGAACTTTCTTCTAAATGCCTGGTTTTCCTCAACTAGAATCAGAGGGCCTCCTCCTTTGAATATGAGCCGATCCCTTGAGCCTACCCATTACTATCCATCTGACATTACCAAGCTTGCTAACTCTCAGGCCTGATCTACACTAAGAAGGAAGGTTAGCTCAGCTACATCACTTAGGGGTGTGACAAATTTATACCCAAGTTACATAGTTAAGCCAACCTAAGCCCCCTTGTAGACAGCACTAGATCAACAGAAATTTTTTTCCATTGACCTAGCTAATGCTTCTCAGTGAGGTAGATTACCTGTTGCAGTGGTTCTCAAACTTTTGTATTGGTGAGCCCTTTCACACAGCAAGCCTGAGTGTGACCCCCCTTATAAATCAAAAATACTGAAAAAAATAATAATAATAATATTTAGCACTATTATAACTGAGGGGTTGAGGGCTGACAGCTTGCGATCCCCTATGTAATAACCCCGTGACCCCCTGAGGGGTCATGACCCCCAGTTTGAGACCTATTGCAACAGGAGAACCCCTCTCATTGGCATAGGTAGCGTCTACACTGAAGTGCTGTAGCATTTCAAGTATAGACAAGACCTCATACATGGCTGCTGGAGGTGAGGAAGTATTTAACATGCTTGTGTCTTGGAGTGGAGTGAGATGGAAATAAAAAGGTGGAGTGGAAGCCTGAGGACAAAACTCTATTGTTATGATAAGGAGACATTTTGTCTCTAGGCAGAGGATTAGGCTTTGCAGATGCCAGTTGGTGGAAAGCTGTTGCTATCCTATTTCTCCATAGAACAGATCCCTCCTTGGGGTGTGTGTGTGTGTTTTTTTTTAGGAAAACGCCCTATTTAGAATATGTCCAACTCATCAAACAGAAAAAATAAAAATGTTTGCTTAAAGAAATCTATTTCTGTTTGCTATCACTAGGTCTACTATAAGAAGTAGAAACTAAGATACATAATAAATAGACAGGCAACTTGGAATTACAGGTAAAATTCCACTAGGATTCTGCTAATGTAAAACCACAGGAAAAAACCCCAAATCCCAGCTCTTATAACTTCCAAATATTCAAAAGCAGTTTAACCTCCAGAAATTGCTTTTTCCAAACTTTTTGTATCTTTTCCTCATTGCTGCATTTTCCTCATCCATGGAGTAATAGTACAAGCCTCAACGGTTAAGAATCAGTCTGACAAGTTAGCTCCATGCTTCCATTACTAGTTCTCAGAGTTGTCAGGAGTACCCCAATTCCTGTGAATTACATAAGCCAGGTGATCACACTCACACCTTATGAAGGATTTATTTCCATAGGTTGAAATGCATTTGATAGCAAGTGATAAATTATCATAAAGTAATACAATGCTTTGAAATTATTTTGGAAAAGAACTTGCATTATTCCTAATCCTCATTAACAATGTGTCTGTTGTGGCTTTCATAAATCATTGTGTGTCTCACAGGTAAACTCAAAACCACAGCAGATAGATAAACTAATAATAATGACCTTCATCCTGAAAGATCCCAAATCCCAAATGATACCAGTGAAATTCTACCTCTGAGTTGGAGCACAGCAACAGTATAACAAGCACACAGCAAAACAATAAAACTTTGGAATACCAAGTGAAGTATTCAGTGTACCAATAGGGGGAAAATTTAATTTAGATAGACAAAATGAATGATCAAAGCAGAAATTTTGACAGGACACCCAGGATACCGCATTTATTCTCCAAACAGTAGTTTTTCTTCTTAGACCACAGTCTAATAGAAATGGAATTAACTGACAGGGTGAAATTATTATTCATTTTTCCCAAGGTGGAGGGGTGGGAATATACAGATAAAATGCTATCTGAACTTAAAACTATGCTCTTTATCACCACTCCTGTGAAAGGAAGGACAGATAAGCAGCAAAACTCAGCTCATACATTACACACACACACAACAAAAAAAGTGTGAATTTAGTTTATGTGAGAGGTGTCAGGCCAATAGCCCTGGAAGTCAAAAGCCATTGATTTATCCAAAAAGCATGTCCAGTAAACATAGTGGGAGTGAAAGCTACCCCTCAGATCAGCCAGACTACCTCTCAGAGTAAGAGATTAGTCCATTCTCCATGCCCATTCAATCCTTACAAACTGCTGATACTGCCAGTAAGGGTGCCAATTGTGACAGTGGTTTTTCTGACACAAATATTTCCCAGACACAAAGGAAACAATGGAGAATCTATAAAAACTAAGTAATGGCGCTAAAAATATCCTATTTCTATACAATTTGGGGTGTCTATGCAGTAAGTGGAGATTATTCTAGGGTGCAGCGCTCTGTCTTCCTGCCAGCTGCAGTTGCATCTCTAGTTCTATGACTCAAGTGCCTAAGATTCCCTCTCACTGTTTATTAAAATGCAGCAGTGTATTACACAGGGATTACACCATACTCTATCTGTTATCTCAGAAATGGAAATTAGTTCAAGTTAGCGAGGCTGCCACTACAAGACTTTGAAGCTTGCAGGTCCTCACACAAACCAGCAGGAGTCTCCTTGGGCCTTATACATTGCACTACACATGCAGCTAATAAGGATTTAAATTAGTCTATTTGATATATGTATCAGTGCTTCATGCTACAAAACACGATAGAATCTTTATTGACTTTTCTCTATCACCTCCAGCAGCATCTCCAGCAGCGCAGTATCTCCTCAACAAAGCCACATGGTGTTGAGTACTGACTCCAAAATCAGTGTCAACTACTGTGTTTCCCCACCCAGGTTTTCATAGGAAGTCTCCCAAACAAGTACCTACTTACTACTGCTTAACTTGTATGATCTGATCAACTCTCACCACAAAGTAGTACGACTGAAGATCTTTTGTAGTAATTGGTAGTTCAAATCCACCTCAGAATAACTTAAGTAAATACTTATAGTCAAATATGTATGTGCTGGTGTAAATTTATTTAAACACTTTTATTATTATTATTATTATTACTAGAAACCCTAGTCATGGACCAGGACCTCATTGTGCTAGGTGCAGTACAAACAAAACAGACAATTCCTGCTCCAAAGAGTTCAATCTAAGTTTAAAAGAAGAGCCAAAAGATGGATGCAGACAGATGGGGAAACAGAAGGAAACAATATTGGTCAGCATGATAGAGGAGTCTTACACCCATAGGCATCATGGAAAAGGAGAGACATAAGGAGGGTTTTGAAGAAGGACAATGGAGTAACTTTGCACATGTATATGGGAAACTCCTCCAGGTGTAAGGGGCAGCATGGGAGAAAGCACCGAGATTCTTGTTTGAAAATTTAGCAAGTGGGCAATATAGGCTGGCATCATGGATTGATCGGAGGAGGGAGCTGACAGCTTGATAAGTGAATAAGAAATGGTCCCTTTGCTGTACTCAGATAACAGGTAATATAACCCCTTTTTAACACCATTGCCCCCTTACTTCTGTGCATATTTTACCACTTCCACAGAACACAATAGTAATGCCTTATCATGTTTGGCCTGAGTGGACAGTAATGACAATGTTCTTTTCCTCACATGGCATCAGATCACTATTATAACTCATTTGGATTTGTTTTTTTTTTCTTTTGCATTTTATTTAGTATTTTTCTTATCTTTATAGTCGCAGGTCGGCAGAGATTTACAAACTGAAAAAAAATGCAGTGATGGGAACAAATTATTTCCTGCCATAAGCAGTCTCAACTCCACTGAAACTAATGGAGTTTCACCAACCTACATCAGCAGTGAATTTATCTCAAAGAAATCATGCTTCACTGCATGCTTTGGAAGGTTCTTGTCCATTACATGGTGCACCATGTTTTTCTCTTGTGGAAGTTCAAATTATATGCAAAATATCCCCAAGCGATACCAAAGTGCAAAAGTGCAGAATGTATGTAAAGTATCCCCAGAAACAAAGAACAGTAATTGATCTCCATAATGGGAGGTAAGAGGTAGAATGCTTCCTATCTTCAAAACTGTCTGAAAGCCCCAAAAAACTTTCCAAACTGGGCTTATTCCCAGCTCATTGTTTTGAAAGCAAATTCTCTAAATCAGAGAAGAACAGAACTTTGTATATTTCACTTCATTCCCTAAGACTCATACAGTTTTAGAGTGATATGTATATGCTAAAGTGGAATACTGGAATATATATATATATATATTCATCTAAAGAATGAATCTTTTAATAAATTGAAAGACAGAAGGACAGCATTATTACAAGAAATATGTTGAAACTCAGTGTTTGCTTATATCCCTGTAGTATCTAATCTATAAATACACATAGATAGAAACTGCTAAAATAAAAGTGAGGGAAGTAATGATGGCAGGATAAATCAGTTTGTGATCACTAAATAAAGATGTAGCTTGTTATGTTATCTATTAGCTCAAAAGCCAGGATGCATGTGCAGCATTAATCTTGTCAGCAATAACAAAATACTTTTTAATCATAGGTCTATTTGAACTGTCATTCACCAAGAGCTGCATGCTAATCAATTGAAAAGAAACAAATTCCACTCTGATTAAATAATTAGAATTACAAATGTTTCTTCCTAAAGAAGGGCACTGCACCAAACTGTCCAGTGTATGCTGTCACAATGGCAAAGAACCATGTCAAACAAATCTAGAACAGTTTATTGCAGCCATCCTCTGCTTTATGGGAATGTACAGCTCATGGAAGCACCTTGACTCTGAGCTCATTGTGCCATCCTCATTTAAGCATTAACATATACAAGGCCATATTCCCTCCTGCAACCCCTCAAGAAAGCACATGGCAGTGTGCAATGCATTACAGTCTCCTCTGCAGCATTGTGCAGGGTAAGACACACATCCTCTCCCTATGGTGCCTTCATTCAGGTGGGGCTGCCACGTGCCCAAAGAGCGCAGCTTCCCAGGGTTCGAACCTCAGCGCCCCAGCCCAGTGCTGGTCACATGGCCTCAAGTCCCGACCCCAATAGGGAAATCTTGCTGCCAATCAAATACACTCCAGCCAATCACAGGGAAGTGGGTGACACCACGGCAGGAGATGGAGCCAATGGGCGTTCGCTAAGAGCCAGAAGCTGGGGAAGGCGGAAGGCCTAGACGTGTGGAGCGCCCGTGGGTGGCGGATAACTGGGCGAGAGAACGACGGGCTACCAGCCTACTACGAGGGGGGACTGGACGCAGCCGGGCCCCCACCGCGAGGCGGGCGGAAGGAACAGCCCGAACCCGGCATCTGGCGGCACCTCGGGCCCTGTAGTCGTTATTACGTCATCAAAGCGCGCATTAAATCGATCCCTTTTCAATCCCTCTCCCGGCCGGGGTCGCACCCCGGAGACGCGCGCGCCCCGAAGGGGGATAGGCGTTCCGCCTGGTACTCACCGTGAGGAACCTCTTGCCCCGTCTCGCCGGCTCTGCCGCTTCCTGCTCCCCCAGCTCGCCGAAAAGCGGGGCGGGCGCCGGCCAATCGCGACTCGCATTCCCGGCCTGCACCGCGAACCGGAAGTGACGGAGCGATGACCTTTAGCACAACAGGACGCTTGGGACCAGCTGGCCCGGGGGGACGCTGGGAGTTGTAGTCTCCGCCAGGAATGGCGTGGCGCGTTGCATTCTGGGAGCTGTGGGATGGGATGGAGAAGCGGGGCTCCCTGGGGGCCCGTCCGCCCGCCTTGCCAGGCCCGCGCCCTTGTTCGTGCGGGAGAGCTGTGCCGGGGGAAGCGGAGCGGCGGCTAGATGTGCCCCAGGGGCTGCTATCTGTTCCCTAGCGAAGGTCCACGTGTCTCATCACAGGCCACAGTCCCCGTTCTAGTCCCACTCGACCAGCCCTCCGGCCTGCTGCCGTCTCGGCCCCATCGCTGCCCGTTTGCGTGAGCGGAGCCGAAAACCTTCCCCATGATAAGGTGTTTCCAGCTTGTTTGAAGTTTCCTGCTCTGATTTTTTTTAACTTTAATTTTGTTTTGCCCCTTATTCAGGCAAGGGTATGGAGCTAGCCTCCCCAAGTTCACTGGCCGCCCATGAGCCTGCTACCAACATTGGCATCTGTGCCTAACCCTCTCCCCTGTAGCACCATCACCACACCCATTAAACCACGTTATTCCTCCAGGAGAAGGAGGTTAGAGTCGAGGTGCGTCTATTAGTAGCTATAAGCCTTGTTGACAGCTTGTCTACACTTAAAATGCTGCAGTAGTGCAGCTGCACAGCTTGGGTGCAGATGCTACCTACACCGATGGGGGAGTTTCTCCTGTCAGTATAGGTACTTCATCTCCGTGAAAAGTGGTAGCTTGGTCGACTGGAGAACTCTCCTATCAACCTAGTGCTGTCTGTGCCTGGTGTTAGGCTGGTTTAACTGTCGCTCAGACATGTGGATTTTTACACCCCTGAGTGATGTACTTATATCAACCTAAGTTCATAGTCTAGACCAGGCCTTAGATGACTCAAAAGGACATAACATTTCAATGCCCAGGAGGGGGGAAAAAGAGTAGACAATGTCACAATTTCAGCATAAGAACATGTGTATTCCCCTTTCCCCCTCCAGGAGTGCCCAGCCAGATCTCAAGCCTCCAGGAGTCACCTGTCTCTGGGCAGGGCCCTATGTTCCAGTCCTTTCTGACTGGGGTTTAAGGGCTGCACAGCCCCGTCCCATACACTGTGATAGCCTCAGCAAGCCAATCTGCTAAAGACCAACTCTGGGCTGTGCTTTCTCTGAGGACAATGACCAGTGTGGGTCAGCCATTACAAATTCCCACACAGCTCTTCCAAAGCAATGTATATTTATTCATAGGACAAAAGCAAAGAAAAGCAGAGAAAACAAAAATACAATTAAAAGTTCTTGGACTCTTACTAAACATACCAGAAATCACCCAACTTTCACGTGGGGAATCTGGGAGTCCAACACCCCTTTGAGCTCTTCAGAGTTGAGGTCTGCTTAGGACCAAAGGTCCTGTCTACTGAATCAAAGGAAGACTGCAAGTCAGTTCCAGGTCATCCTTTTACACCAAAAGCCTTTTTTTTTGTTTGTTTCCTAGTTTTGGAAAACCTAGTCTGAACCAGTACCGGGGTGTGTGTGTATTGATTTAGTTGGGGATTGGTCCTGCTTTGAGCAGGGGGTTGGACTAGATGACCTCCTGAGGTCCCTTCCAACTCTGATATTCTATGATTCTATATAAACTACTCCAAAAGGTGGTGCTTCTCTAGAGTGGTTTAATAATCCCTGTGGTAATCCCTGTTGTTTAATAATCCCTGTGGAGTTGCGGTAATTCTCCCCCATGGAGTAGAACACAGTCATATATAAATAATTCATAAATGTACTACAATGGTCCCTGAAGCTACTACACAGGATTGCAATATCACAGGCGCTATAAACGCCAATCAACCAACCATCCCACACCCTGTCACAATCCCAGCAATGTGAAGCTAGCTATTAAGGCTGCACATCTAGGCTATTAACAAAAAAGGAGCACATTCATAAGCTTTCCCACAGACTTCGTGGCTATTATGACAAGTTCGTATGTGCTCACTTGCAAAATTGATGTTAATGAGCTCATCTTTAATGGCCATTTGGCTGTTGCTCCTTTCCCAAGGGCAGTAGCTGCCTGGGCTCCCTTATTTTGGGGCTCTGCTTCCCATTCACAGCTGGAATAATTGCTTGTACTTTAACTGTGTTAGTTAGTGAACAAATCCTACTAACATAAAACAAAATGAAAATTCAGTGAAATTCAACTGACCATTTTTAAATAGTCCTTGGCAAAACCTGCATTCCTAGGTATCCAAAGCTTCCAGCAGCTGTTCAGTAGCCTGTTTTGTTCATAACATAAAAACACAGAATGGTTGCCATAGCTTTATTTGTGCCAACTATTTGTAATTTAATGTCAAATTAATAACCTTCAGTAGGAGAGATGCAATTCCTGGCACTGTACTGGGAAAAACATAAAACCAACAATAGTTCAACCATAAGGAAATGATTTTATGGCTCTAATCATTTCCTGATGGCCAAATTATTGTATACAATTTGTGACTGCAACTAAATTGACACTGATACTTTACAAATAACGTCTCATAAAGTAGGATTCAGTCTTGAAAAGGACCCCATTTATTTTGTATATGTAGTTTCCACGTTTTACATATACATATACAAACAAGCAAAAACAATTCAGTCTTTTGGAACTGACTTAACAAATGTAGTTGCTTTCCTGAGTAATTATAAATGACATAAAATACAGCCACTAAATAAATGTATTTGCTTTTCCCCACTTACCTTCCTGTGTCTGTTGATACAGTACTCAGAAGTCCTTTGTCTTCTTACTTTCCCAGGATTGGACTCTGCTGCCCAAAACCAGATAGGTGAGCTCTGCAGAGGATCAGAGGCAGAACATCAAAGCGAATAGCTCTTGCATTGTCCCTTAAGTTTTGGCAGATGGGTGTCTCTCTCAAGCCATTTTCCCATTTCCTGCTTGTTTTCCCAACAGTCAGTTAAATCATCATATTCATACAGTAAACACCACAATAACCTGGTCACAGTACAGTAATCATAAATTATTATAGCGCATCCCCACTTCCACCACAGCCAGATTCTGATCTAACACCATTTCAACATATACATTTAACACCATTGTCATTGGCTTCAGTAGAATTACTCCTGTTTATGCTGGTGCAATATCACCACCAGTGTCCATGCAGTTCTCACTGTGGAGTATTTTACACCCTTTGGGCACTCACTTGTCCCAGATATAAATGACAGACAAGGTGGAAAGCAGTGAAGAATCAAACTCTGACTAATTAATTTTTCAAATGTGGTCATAGGGAAACAGAAAGGCCTGATCTTCAGCTGGGTGTAAACTGGCATAATTTTATTTAAGTTACTGGAGCTATGTCAATTTACATACAGGTCTGTCTCATCTTACGCTGGGGTTACGTTCCGTGGTCAGCGCATAAAGCAAAAACTGCGTATAGTCAAAATTACATTGAGTGTAATGGCGGGCGGAATCGCCCGCACTACAGGAACAGTATTTAAATTGTTATTTTTCTCTTTTTGTTTTTGCCGACCGCGTAAAGCTCAATTCGCGCATGTTAAATGCGCGTAAGATGCGACAGACCTGTACTCTGTAGATTTGGCCCGGTATCTCTGTTGAGCAGTTACATCTCTTCATCCAAGAAATTTTAATTTTTTACCCCACTCCTGTTCTTCATCATTTTTCCTTTTCCCTGCTACAAATTTGAAACCAAACCAAAACTCCAGCTGAGCTTGTTTCATAAAGTTATTTTCATAATTACTGCCAGTTTCAGTTCTTGATCCAGAGATATCCTGGATCCATTGTGATTCAAAATCAAATTTATGTTCCTTCTATTTCCTCACTTACTGCACTGCGGATTTCCTGGTGCAATGAAATTCAATAATATCTTGTTAATGGGTCTGGTTGCGAACAGGGGCTGCTAACAGGGAGTTTCGCAAGGGAGTTTGGAAGGGGAGCGGGAAGGGAGCGGGGGTCCCTTGCTGGTTCTATCTGTTTCCATTTATTCCCCTTAACCTATAAACCAAACTACATTCAAAACTTCTTGCTTAAACAACCCTTTCAGCAGACAAGGGGCTGCAGACAGGGGAGTTTGAGAGGGAGTTTGACAGAGGGAGGCTTACGATGGTTAGGAAGACCCGCAACACCTGTGCCAGCACTGCTTCTGTCTCCTCCACCTGCACCTGTAGCCAGACAGAGCACCTGAGCATGGATGCTTCTACCCAGATTCTGGTGTGGTTTTGCAGAGACTGTAACTTGCAATTTCCACTTACTGATATCCAGGCTGGGGGGACCATCCAATGTGAAAGGTGCCTACGGTGGAATCTCTCAGGCAGCAGGTGGGAGAGCTACAGGAGGAGGTGGCTAGGTTGAGGAGCATCCGAATCCACGAGCAATTCCTGGACAGTGTCCATGTGGAGACAGCTGAGGTAGCTGTCCCAGTACACAGGACTGCTGATACACCACTTGTGGAGGAGGAGATGGTTCAGGGTGGACACTGGCAGCTGGTTTCTTCTGGCAGCAGGCAGTGCTCCACCCCTGCTCCGAACCCTCACGCCATGGTAACAGGTAACCGTTATGCTCTTCTTGATACAGGAGAGAAGGAATCACCCTCTACAGTAAAGGAGGAGAAGCCTTGTACCCCTAAGGCTGGGAGGTTTGCTGCCACCACTGCGAATAGGAAACGTAGGATAGTGGTGGTTGGAGACGCTCTGCTGAGGGGGACGGAGGCGCCCATCTGTCGCCCTGACATTTCATCTCGGGAGGTATGCTGCCTGCCGGGGTCCCATATCCGAAATGTTATGGAGGCATTGTCGAGGATTATCCAGCCCTCTGACTACTACCCTATGCTACTCATCCATGTGGGCACAAATGATACTGCGAGGTGTGACACTGAGCGGATCAAGAGTGATTACAGGGCTCTGGGAGTACGGGTGAAGGAGTTTGGAGCGCAGGTGGTATTCTCTTCGATTCTTCCTGTCAAAGGTAGGGGCCCGGGCAGAGGCAGATGCATCATGGAGGTGAATGCCTGGCTGCGAAGATGGTGTCGCCAGGAGGGCTTTGGCTTCCTCGACCACGGGATGCTATTCGAGGAAGGGCTGCTAGGCAGAGATGGCGTTCACCTTTCGAGGAGGGGAAAGACCCTATTTGGACACAGACTGGCTAACCTAGTGAGGAGGGCTTTAAACTAGGTTCGACGGGGACAGGTGAGCAAAGCCCACAGGTAAGTGGGGAACATGGAGACCTGGGAGATGGGTCAGAAACAAGAGGAAGCGTGGGTATAATGGCAGAGAGAAAGGAGAGTCAGGGCAAAACTTGGAGGAAAGATCAAACCAGTATCTTAGATGCCTATATACAAATGCGAGAAGTATAGGTAATAAGCAGGAAGAACTGGAAGTGCTAATAAATAAATACAACTATGACATTGTTGGCATCACTGAAACTTGGTGGGATAATACACATGATTGGAC